GGTTGATATCAGATTGTCTCACTAGTTGATGTCGACTGTCTCACTAGTTGATGTCAGATTGTCTCACTAGTTGATGTCAGATTGTCTCTCTAGTTGATGTCGACTGTCTCACTAGTTGATGTTAGATTGTCTCACTAGTTGATGTCAGATTGTCTCACTAGTTGATGTCAGATTGTCTCACTAGTTGATGTCGACTGTCTCTCTAGTTGATGTCGACTGTCTCACTAGTTGCTGTCAGATTGTCTCACTCGTTGATGTCAGATTGTCTCACTAGTTGATGTCAGATTGTCTCACTAGTTGATGTCGACTGTCTCTCTAGTTGATGTCGACTGTCTCACTAGTTGATGTCAGATTGTCTCACTAGTTGATGTCAGATTGTCTCACTAGTTGATGTCAGATTGTCTTACTAGTTGATGTCAGATTGTCTCACTAGTTGATGTCAGATTGTCTCACTAGATGTCGACTGTCTCTCTAGTTGATGTCAGATTGTCTCACTAGTTGATGTCAGACTGTCTCACTATTTGATGTCGACTGTCTCACTAGTTGATGTCAGATTGTCTCACTAGTTGATGTCAGATTGTCTCACTAGTTGATGTCAGATTGTCTCACTAGTTGATGTCGACTGTCTTACTAGTTGATGTCAGATTGTCTCATTAGTTGATGTCAGATTGTCTCACTAGTTGATGTCGACTGTCTCACTAGTTGATGTTAGATTGTCTCACTAGTTGATGTCAGATTGTCTCACTAGTTGATTTCAGATTGTCTCACTAGTTGATGTCAGATTGTCTCACTAGTTGATGTCGACTGTCTCTCTAGTTGATGTCAGATTGTCTCACTGGTTGATGTCAGAGTGTCTCGCTAGTTGATGTCAGCTGTCTCACTAATTGATGTTAGATTGTCTCTCTAGTTGATGTTAGATTGTCTCACTAGTTGATGTTAGATTGTCTCACTAGTTGATATCAGCTTGTCTCGTTAATTGGTGTCTAATTGTAACGTTAATTACTTCATATTTGTCTCGTTAATTTCTGTCTTATCGAGTTGTTTGCCATCTGATTATATGGTTAGTTGCTATTTGATATTATTTAGCCACTTCGTTGAATGATACTTGGTTGTCTCTTTATTTGATATCTGATTGTCCGTTTTAGTTGATCTCTAATTATGCGTTCATTAATAAATGATTATCGTTATTTCTTACTTGATTATTTCATTAATTTTTCTCTGATTATCTCGTTAATCCATGTTGGATTGTATTGTTAATTGCTCCCGGCTTGCAACTTTAATTGCTTCCTGATTATCTCATTAAGCTCTGCTTGATTACCACGTTAATTGGTGCCTCATTGCCTTGTTACATGTCTTTGATGCCCTAGCCGATCGCGATCTCTAGATATTTATAGTTGGGTACATGATTTTATTATTCCTGTTTAGATCTGTGATTTCTGCAATCAGAGAGTTCCTTCCTAATTCCGGTTCGTTAGTTAATCAGCTTGTCTGGGATTTCTTTTACACCACTCCCTGACAGTTTGTGTAACCTTCTCTCTTTCTTTCTCTCTCTATCTCTGTCTGCCTCTGTCTGTTTCTCTCTCTCTCTCTCTCTCTCTCTCTCTCTCTCTCTCTCTCTCTCTCTCTCTTTCTCTCTCTCATTCTCTGGCACTTTTGCTCCTCTCTCTCTCTCTCTCTCTCTCTCTCTCTCTCTCTCTCTCTCTCTCTCTCTCTCTCTTTCTGTCACTTTCCTTTCTCCGTTTCTCTGACGTCTAATATGTTTGCGTATTTGTGTTTGCTTGTTTTTCAGTAACTGTTCAAATGAATCTATATATCTGGATTGTTTCGTTAATTGCTCCAGGCTTGCAACTTCAGTTGCTTCCTGATTATCTTATTAAGCTATACCCTTTTACCACGTTAATTGGTGCGTTTATGGGCATTCTCACTGTCAGCCATACTCAGATTGAAAGACTTGAGAACGTGCAAAACTAAGCAGTGCACATTATTCTGGGGTGCGCTGGAGACATCTTTTGTGTAGCAGTGAGATACTCTTTTGACTTCCCCACTATCAACTACATGATCAAGATCTGGAAGGCTCGTGCATACTTCAAGATAAGCTCAGATCTGAAGCACCCTTTGCACCACATGCTCTTCAGGAAAAAAGAACAATAGACTTAGAAGGAGCAAATCATGGCTGGGTAGGGCAGAGGAAGACATCGTGCAGGAATGCAGCCTAACAGATATCCATCCAGGTGAGGTGTAGATACCAGCGACTGAAGCCCTCAATCTCACATTCTCCTGTGTCGTCACGCTTGATAGTTGTTGAGAGCAAAATCCAGCTGCTGTCAACACTGAGGTATGCGCGCTTATCGTGATTAAGTCAGATGAGACAGATGTGGTGATCTTCACAGACGGGTCCGTTATACGAGGACATAAGAGTGCATGGGCATTTACAGCTCGCTCTTCATGCAGAACAGGTAAGGAAGCCAGCTGTGCCTTCTCCATGACCATCAACAGCATGACGATGGAGGTAATGGCGGTGACACAGGTATCCATTTGGCTAGAATCACAGGACTATTCCCGCGTGTGTGTGTGCTGAGTGATTCTTTGAGCATGATCCGTCGGGTCGAGGCAGGTTGGTTACGCAGAAAGTGGACTGAGTCAGTGCAAAACTCTCCTTCATATTTGTCCTAGGTATAAAAGTGTTGTTGGTAATGAAAGAGCTGATAGACTGGCAGGTGCCGCATTAATTAAAGATGGCCGGCCCATGGATCATGCAGACATTGTCATTGCCCTTAGAGAGATAGGACGTTCTGAGGATTTTGGAAACAACATGTTCACATCACTGCTAAGAATACGAGAATTGGGAGTAAAGATCTAGTGAACCAGCATAGGACTAACACTATTAACCTCACGACGCTGATGAATATGTTGAGAGGGGATCTGAGCACCTATGGATGTGTCCGTAGTGCTGTAAAGATAATCCAGCTCATAATTGATCTGTCTGTCTGTCTGTCTGTTTATCTGTCTGTCTTAGTCACGGTATAGACAAGGTTGCTGTAACGTCTCGTTTTGCCAAGCTGACTTTAGCATATTCTTATATAAACCTAACATTGATAAAATACAATTGCTCTGTAAAAGACGGAGTTTTGGAAGGGCAGAATTTAAGACGGGTCGTTTTAGCTCTCTCTCTCTCTCTCTTTCTTTTTCTCTCTCTCTCTCTCGCTTTCCCCCCCCCCTCCTTCCCCGTATAAGTTACTCTCCTAAATTCACCCTCCATGTCTGCTCCGCCTCGCAGTTATATTGCCCAATTGGATATATTGATGGGGTCTGACCCTTGCCCCCTATCGATATTCCGAATGTACAGAACGTTAAGCTCACCTTCTGACTTCAGACTCCCACCTCCCAGCCTCTCCCCACTTCTCCCTTCACTAACCAGACAGTCTGTGGGAGCAGCCTCCGGCCAAAGGAGGTAAGCACTCTCCTGGCTGGGTCTTTCATTACTTGGTAATGCAATAGCTAGACTAAGTAGTCAGTGTGTGAGTGAGTGTTGTGTGGTGTGTGTGTGAATATGTGTGAGAGAGAGAGAGAGAGAGAGAGGGAGAGAGAGAAGGAAGGAATGAAGGTCGAGATGATTACCCGAAAGAAAGAAATATCTGTTGATTTCGTTGACTACACAGGTACGTGGCCCGATTACTTATTACTGATTTAAGATTCGACATCATAGCACAACGGACATAACCATAGATGATCCGTCTCCCGCAGCAAATGTCTTAAAGTTTAGATGTTAACTGTTACGACCTTCCTTGTCGAAATCACGTTCAAACATTCTTGTAAATGTTATTTCATCTAACCTGGTTTCAGTTGGTCCTAAATATCTATATCTGATGTTTTTGCTTGTCTAAACATGTGGTATGTATATATATATATATATATATATATATATTTCTGCATTGTACTTAAAAGTGCGTTTGTGTTCTGGTTTACAGTTAGGCTGTCGTATCTGCGACCATTGGTCTTACACATCCAGTTTTCGGTCGCCTTTTACGACATGATTGTTAGGGGCAATGGGTCTTTTCTTTCGCCGCCCCTCCCTTTTTTCCCACACACCACAAATAGGGCCCCGAACCCACAGTCAGATTATATACATTGATTTCGCCATGTCTTCAAAAGTACCCACAGTGCCTACGTCTAGTGTCTGTTGTTTTTGTTTTGTCTACATACGATGTGCTTAATAACTATCTAATGTCTATTGTTTTTGTTTTGTCTACATTCGATCTGCTTCACCAATGTCTAATGTTTTTGTTTTGTCTACATACGATCTGCTTCACCAATGTCTGTCTTTGTTTTGTCTACATTCGATCTGCTTCACCAGTGTCTAATGTCTTTGTTTTGTCTACACAGGAACCTGTTTCACAATCATCATCATGTAGCAGGTCCTTTGCAGAACGTCGCTCTCATCACAGTCTGCCTGAAAGAAACTCGTTTTCTCGTCAGTTCTCCCGCCTCATGTACTTTATACTCAAGGAGTCACTTATATCCTGGGCCCATCTTCGTATCGGTCGGCCCCTGCCCCTCCTTCTTGGTACCATGTCTTCTGCTATAATTTGTTCCAGTTGTTTCACAATACCTCTATCAAATGTCTGTTGTTTTAGTTTTGTCACAGTTTACGCAGTCGGCGTCAGTGATTTAGACGTTGCAAACGCGATTTGTAATTCCCAGGTACCCGTTTCGATCCCATTTGCGGACGATTTGACGGCAAACCGTCTTGCCTTCTTGTCGACAGTGCACTGGAGAGAGCCGACCTTCGGACGCAAACTACTGAATGTAAAATTGCCAAGAAAAAATCACGAAAATCCAGAAAATTCTGTGGTTGGTTCTTAAGCGTCCTGCAAAGCAGGGGCAGCTAACTGTAACACATGAACCTACACCACTTGTATCTAATGTGTTGTTTTTCCTCTGATCCACACAGGTACCTGGTCCACAACACCTATGCTCATCTTCAAGGAGCCCCAACCAGGATGGAAGATCCCTCAGGAGGAGCTGACGAGTTTCGCTCCCACAACCACGCCGAGCGCATGATGAAACGGCTAGAAACCTATGCCAGCAAGCGGCAGCTGTGTGATGTGGTTCTGTTGGCAGAAGACCGTCGCATCCCAGCCCACCGGTTGGTCTTATGCGCCGCCTCTGACTACTTTGCCGCGATGTTTACCAACAATGTCCGGGAGGCCAGCATGGATGAGATCCACATCAAGGATGTCGATGCTGAGGCTCTGGCCAGCCTGGTGCAGTACGCCTACACAGGTGAGGAGATGTAGTACACAGGTACATGGATGTGGTACACAGGTACAGGAATGTAGTACACAGGTACAGAGATGTGGTACACAGGTGAGAAGATGTAGTACACAGGTACAGGGATGTGGCACACGGGCACATAGATGTGGTACTCACGTGTACAGAGATGTGGTACACAGGTACAGGGATGTGGTACACAGGTACAGGGATGTGGTACACAGGTAAAGGGATGTGGTACACAGGTACAGGGATGTGGTACACAGGTACAGGGATGTGGTACACAGGTACAGGGATGTGGTACACAAGTACAGAGATGTGGTACACAAGTACAGAGATGTGGTACACACAGGTACAGAGATGTAGTACACAGGTACAGAGATGTAGTACACAGGTACAGAGATGTGGTACAGGGATGTAGTACACGGGTACAGGGATGTGGTACACAGGTACAGGAATGTGGTACAGGGATGTGGTACACGGGTGCAGGTAGGCGGTACACGTGTGCAAGGAGGCGGTACCCAGGTACAGAGATGTAGTACCCAGGTACAGAGATGTACTACCCAGGTACAGATAATTAGTAGACAAGTAGATAGTGCATGGAATAATGGTGTTTTTGGTTCCTGACATCTTCTTTTTCTTCTTCTTCTTCTTCTTCTTCTTCTTCTTCTTCTTCTTCTTCTTCTTCTGCTCCTCCTCCCCCTCCTCCTTCTTCTTCTTTTCCTCCTCCTCCTTCTTCTTCTTCTTCTTCTGCTCCTCCTTCTTCTTCTTCTTCTGCTCCTCCTTCTTCTTCTTCTTTTCCTCCTCCTCCTTCTTCTCCTCCACCTCCTCCTTCTTCTTCTTCTTTTTCTTATTATTATTATTATTATTTTTCTTCTACTACTACTTCTTCTTCTTCTTTTTCTTCTTCTACTACTTCTTCTTCTTCTACTACTACTACTACTTCTTCTTCTTTTGCTACTACTTCTTCTTCTTCTACTACTTCTTCTTCTACTACTTCTTCTTCTTCTTCTTCTTCTTCTTCTTCTTCTTCTTCTTCTTCTTCTTCTTCTTCTTCTTCTTCTTCTTCTTCTTCTTCAGCTCCTCCTCCTCCTCCTTCTTCTTCTTCTTCTTCAGCTCCTCCTCCTCCTTCTTCTACTTCTTCTACTTCTTCGTCTTCTTCTTGTGTTCAGGGTTTGACGTTGCTCTCTCAGCGGTTGGCTCTCGTTACCGCTATCGAAAACAGCGTAAGACGGTCTGCTGCTAAACCGCCTGTAGCTGAGATCGAACCCCGCATCTTCGAATTACAAACCGCATTTGCAACGCCTAGGCCACAGACGCTGGCACATCACAGTAACCTAAGGCTAAATCAGTGCAATAGTCTGCTAAAGTAGTGGTAAACGGGCTTCAGTACAAGTCTCTCTCTCTCCTCTCTCTCTCACTTTCTCTCTCTCTCTCTCACTTTCTCTCTCTCACTCTCTCTCTCACTCTCTCTCTCTCTCTCTCTCTCACTCTCTCTCTCACTCTCTCTCTCTCACTCTCTCTCTCTCACTCTCTCTCTCTCACTCTCACTCCCCCCCCCCCCCCTCAACACAGTTACCCATGCCTGGGAGTCTTACACTTAACTTCTTTTTGATTCCAGGCGAATCCAGGTCGATTGAGGGTTATTAGGGGCTGAAGCAAACTTAATAGAAGTCAGTCTTGTTGAGGATGTCTCGTGATCTGAGTCTTATTATGGAGGGAGTTAGTCGATACCCCACTGTCTTCGTCAGGATTTCTTAGCATGTTCTGTTCTCAGTGTTCTGTTCTAGTTGTTTTGTCCAATGCGTTTTGTCTTAAATGGTCTACTCTAGACGTTCTATGCGATGCGTTCTGTCTTAGATGGTCTATTCTAGATGTTCTATCCAATGCGTTCTGTCTTAGATGGTCTATTCTAGATGTTCTATCCAATGTGTTCTGTCTTAGATGGTCTATTCTAGATGTTCTATGCGATGTGTTCTGTCTTGGTATACTCTAGATGTTCTGTATTAGAAAATCTGTTCTAAATGTTATGTACTAGACGATTTGTTCTGGGTGTTCTTTCCTATGGGTATTCTGTCCCGTGTGTGTTCTGTCCTATGGGTGTTCCGTCCCGTATGTGTTCTGTCCTCTGTGTGTTCTGTCCTGTGAGTGTTCTGTCCTGCGAGTGTTCTGTCCTATGGGTGCTCTTTCCTATGGGTGTTCTTTCCTATGGATGTTCTGTCCTATGGGTTAGGTGTGGCCAGCTAGAAAATGTTCTCTGATGCCCTGTTTCTTGATTTTCACAAGGTAAAGAATAAAAAAACAAAACGGGAAGTATTATGATGGTTCCTCACAAACCCAGTTAAAGAATTAACACATAATTGAACAGTCTAACTATCACTTTCGGATTTGTTAACATTTCCCGGCCCATCTACACACGTGCTCAGGCTGTAGGTAGGGGGTTTGGGTTAGGGCCAGTTGTAGATATCCTGAAGTCGTTGAAAGCTGTCTGGTCGTAGAGTATAGAACACATGACATCGGCGCTGATGTCATTGGAGGCAAGACAACCTGACACCCCTCAGACGTAGAAAAGTCTGAGAAAGTATGAATGAAAGGTCAGCCAGTGTGTAGATGGGCCGGGAAACGTGAACTGGGCCCCATTTTCGTGTTTCCCCTCTTGAAATTGTCCCCTTTAGGATTGCAGTCTGTAGGATTAAAATCTAAAGTATGAGAATCAAACAGTTATACCTTGTGGCTTAGGCATTGCGAACTCGCCTTGTAATGCCGGGGTGCTGGGTTCGATCCCAGCTGCGGACGATTCGTCTTGCGTTGGTTTCGACACTGGTACCAAGAGCTGACCGTTCAGTGGGCAGTGGCAAACTATTGAACGTAAAAGGTTGCCTAGATAAACAACAGCCAAACAATCCTGAGGTTGGTTCGGCAACTTCTGTATAGGATATGCAACTAACTTTTGGTTTAAATGTCTTTTTCGTCTCGCTTGCATCGCATAGGTTAGTATCTTCGAATTTTCACGAATTGAGAATAGAATGAATGATGCATAAAAGAACTGAATGTAAAAATTATACCAGACAGACAAACAAAACCTAACCTAATAAAAGCTGACAAAAAGATGCCAATATATATACCGCCAGAAAAACACAAATCTCAACCAAGAACCCAGCCTGGAAACGGAACAACACAAAACTTAACTAGTCTAATCATCGCTCTTCCTCCAGCCTAACAAGGCAACAAAACACGCACACACACAAAGCGAGACATTTTTATTTCTGATTTCCTGAAAAAAATTAAATGTCTTGGACTCCCATTTCTGTCTGACTCCTCACAACGTATCTAGGGTGTTGGTAGGTTATCTCCCTTCTTGTTGTCGCCGGCTTCCTCTGTTTGTGTTTGCCTTATCTGAATCTCTTGGCATCGACTCAGTCTGTTGTTTACCAGTGTTATCTTGTGTTCAGTGTAGCAACAGTTCTGCCAATTTTACGTCCAGAACGCAGTGGCGTAGTAGCTAGCGGCTCGTCTGCGGCCGCAGGGTTTAGGGTTCGAATCAGCATCTATGTTTATTTTCTTCTTCTTCTTCATACGTGACCTTGGCTTTCACATCGACCCAGCCTAAATGGACACCAGTTGATGTTACTAGAAGTAAAGGTGCCATACCTCGGTGTTGACCACATTGCTCTGAAGCGTCGATTGGTCTAGAAAAATGTTGGTCTTGCCAGGGCTGCGGTAGGAAACGGTACCGGCTTCGGCCTTGCGAACGCGCTTTATAATGCTGGGGTGCCAGGCTCGATCCCAGCTACCGGAGATTTGGCAGCCGACCGTCTTGCGTTGGTTTCTCCAGCGGTACCGAAAGCTGATCGTGCAGCAGCAGTGGCAAACCACTGAACGTAAACTTTGCCCAGAAAAACCTCAACAGCCAACAAACTGCTGGGGTTGATCCTGCAAATAATTTTACCGCAGCGGTACACCCGAACTCTGTAGGTAAAATTGTTTAACCTTGGCGTCTTTTTTATAAACTCATGTTTATGAGTACTGGCACTTTTTTGTCTAGAAAATAAAGTCCTGGGTCCAGCATTGTATCCCACATACGCCAGGGGCATAAAGTGAGTCCTTTACTTTAGTAACTTTACTTTTTTTTGTTCAGAAATCAATGGCAAACTACTGACGTAAAATTACCTAGGAAAATCACGATGTTAGTCAATGCTATGGTTGGTTCTGCAATGTCCTGCAAAGGATACGCTACTAACTTTGAAAAAATATTTATATCAAAGAGGTGTGCTTTCGTTTTGACTTTTATATTTATATCTATATGGATTTATGTGTTGAGTGAATACATTTATTTTACAGGTCACATTCAGCTGAAGGAGGAAACGGTGGAGAACCTTCTGTCGACAGCCTGCCTTCTACAGATGTCTGAAGTGGTTGAGGCCTGCTGCAGCTTCCTGATGAAACAACTGCATCCTTCAAACTGTATTGGCATTCGTCAGTTTGCTGATGCTCAGGGTTGTTTAGATCTCTACAAGGTTGCTAACAACTATGTCATGGTGGGTGCTAGGCCTCTCACTCGTCTTTATTCTCACTTGATTAGGAGTAGTAGCAGCAGCAGTTCACTAACTGTACACTGTAGCGGAAAGTTGTGGTTGTTCATCCATTTCTCAGCTTTGGCTGTTCCAGAATTTGAGTTTTGATTGGTCATCTGCTTTTCAGATTTGTCCTTTTTTTTTTTTTTTTGTATGAAGACTTGGTTCCTTGCTTCTCTTGCAGATACACTCTGATATTTAAGAAAAGATCTCTTATTAGTTGCCCTGTGTGACATGCTTTTTTTTTAGGGGGGCAGCTGGTCTGTTCTTTTCCCTCCAAAATAGGGCCCTGGAGGGTTTTGACTTCACTGCAAAAGAGTTGCCCAATAATTGATCCAATCCTATGCCAGTGAAAATCATATGAAATACCACTCAACATCATTTTTTAAAACTTTTAAAGTGACAATGAGTCCTGGCAAAATACAGAAACCTGTGCACACAGTAAATGCATAAGGCAGTCGCTAGAGTGCCAACACCAATAGTCACCATCAATTGTTGATGGAAGCAGTAATTTACAATCATTTAGCTGTACACTGCTTTGTTAATCCATAAGACACTTAGCCATACCGAATGAAGACTGGCTACCAGCCATTTTCTGAATATCATTATGCAAATGGCTGTGGGCCTGGACAAGTCATTCCACATGAAGCACAGCTTACAGTGTTGCACCAAACACTTAACCCAGTCGTTAGATGGCAAAACCATAGGCTGTAGTCCACATGTGGAAACTCCATTAACAAACCATGGTAAGAAGTACCAGAGAGAGAAATACACACCCCCCCCCCCCCTCCCAAAAAAAAAACACACACACGCACACTCTCATACACACCACACACACACCACACACACCACACACACCACACACACACACACACACACACAGAGAGAGAGAGAGACTATTTGCCATATTGACAGTTGACACTTTATAGACTTGTCAGTTGTCCATCATGACACTGATAGACATGTCACTTAGTATGACAGTTGGCAGTCATGACACTTGATAGACACGGGTGAGGGGAACCAGTAGTCTGTTTTTTTCTCACCAGAATGGGCCCCAGAACCCACAAGAAATGTGCTTGGTGCAATACTGTGAGCTTGGACTACATCTGTTATACTTTTCATCTGTTTATGTTGTGAACTGCATATTCTTCTTCTTTTTCTTCTTTTTCTTCTTCTTCTTCTTCTTCTTCTTCTTCTTCTTCTTCTTCTTCTTCTTCTTCTTCTTCTTCTTCTTCTTCTTCTTCTTCTTCTTCTTCTTTGTGTTGACCGACTGTAAAGTCTGGCATAAAGTTCTGGTTGTTCATCCACTCTTTGGCTTTGGATTTGTTCTAGAAATTGAATTTTACATGCATGTCCATTTTACAGATCTGGCTTATTTGTATGCAGACTGTTCTTCGCCTCTTAGGCAGAGGCACTCTGCCTCTGAAAGAAACATCCCTAATTAGTCTTACAAGTTGCTTGAGGGGTGTGGGATAATGGGTCCACCACCCCCCCCCCCCCTACAGGAAACTGAGGCTTTGAACCTGGATCTAACGAGGGCCCAGCATTCCAAACCACACCACCACCAGCTCCTCTGCTGCTCACCTTTAATTTACAAATTCAGTTTCTTGACCAGTTTCTGTTCTCTGTTATGCGCTACAGGACAGATTTGTAGAAGTCATGCACAACCAGGAGTTCCTGATGCTCCCCTGTGACGAGATCTGCAAGCTGTTTGCCAGTGATGACATTAATGTGCCTAATGAAGAAACCATATTTGAGGCTGTGCTGATGTGGGCCAGGCATGACCTGATGACCCGGAAGAAGTTCCTGGCCATTTTATTGTCTCATATCAAGTTACCACTTATGGCGCCACAGGTAGGTCATGACCCTCAGTTATTCATTTTTACTAGGCACTTCTAAAAAAGATGAATTTCTTAGTCTTCTTCTTCTTCTTCATCTTCTTTTCTTCTTCTGTTGCTGCTGCTGCCATTGCCGCCACTGCTGCTACTGCTCCATTTTATTTCTTATTTTTCTAATGCTTTTTCAGCTACTGCTTTTTCTTCTTCTTCCACTTCTGCTCCTCCTTGTCCTCCTCTTCTGCTTCTTCCTACTCCTCTTCTCCCCCTCCCTCATGCTGTTTCTGCTGCTGCTTCTTCCTCTTCTGCTTCTACTTCTTCTTATCAGCTTCCTGCTCCTCAGCCTAACAGCCCATATCAGCTACACAAATCTAGTCAACAATTCACTGAGATAAGTAGAGGAAGAATAAAAGAAGAAATGTTAGCTTTTTTCTTCCTTCTCTGGTAATCACTATTACTTACTTTAGCTGTCTACACAATTATCAGTACTGAAATCAATCTTCACATCCTCCAGCCTTTTCCCTACCTGTTAATTTACATTGCAAAAAAGAACATGTGAATAATTTAAATGACTTTGAAAAGTATAAAACTTGATCATTTGTCTTTCCTTACAGTTCATTGCAGACCATGTGGAAACAAACAACTTGTTTCATGATGACAAGGACTGCCAACAACTGATTATGGAAGCCCTCAAGTACCATTTGTTGCCAGAGCGACGTTCCTCATTCCAGTCTCCTCGTACCAAACCCAGGAAGTCAACCGTAGGGGTCTTGTATGCAGTCGGCAGCATGGAATGCACAAAAGGTTTGGTAAATTTTTTCTATCATCATTGTCTTTTGATTTTGGTAAAGGTCATAATAATATCAGGAGATGCCGTGGTGTAGCGGCTAGACACTTGCCTACAGATCAGAAGGTCGTGGGTTCATGTTCTGACAGATCCAAACTAATTTTTTTTAATGATGTTAGCTTCCAGGTCGACCCGGCCTTATTTGGATACCAGGTAAATCGTGGGAAGTAAAGGTGGATGGCATGGTGCTGGCCACATTGCCAACCGATTAGTCTATACAATTATATCTAGCTGATATGCCCAGTACACCTAAAGGGTCCTAATACATTTTTTAAAATTTGTAACCTTTTACATAATAATATCAATGCTGTAATGTAGACTAAGTCATGGTTAGGTATGACTGAACTGCCGGCTCCGTCAGCACCCGAACCCATGACCTTCTGATATGCAGACGAGTGACTAGCGAAGACACCACGGTTGGTCTCTCTTTTTAATTTTTCTTATCAATATTTGTTTGTGTTCCTAGGACCAACAAGTATAGAGAAGTATGATCTGCGAACCAACACCTGGACTCAGGTGGCCAACATGGCAGGGCGGCGGCTGCAGTTTGGGGTGGCCGTTCTGGAAGACAAGCTATTTGTGGTTGGTGGAAGAGATGGACTGAAGACCCTGAACACAGTGGAATGTTATGACCCTAAAAAGAAGACATGGAATTTGATGCCTCCAATGTCCACACATAGACATGGTCTAGGTGAGGCAACTGTTTATGATCCACAGATTTTTTGTTCTTATGTTAAATTGATTGTGACATGTATGTAAGACGACACAACATGTGTATGTTCTGGCAAAGATTAACAAGAAAAAAGAATGGGGTGAGGTGGCTGTTTTTTTTTTTAAATCTTTGGTATCTTCGCCTCAGAATGTCTCAGTTTCTTCTTCTTCTTCTGCGTTCATCCGAAGATGTAATTGCGTTGTGTCCGTTTACAGCATGGCTGCGATATTTGCACCTTTCGGCCAACACATCTGACTTCTGTGGGCATTTGTTGACCGGGTTAGCCTTCCCGGTTGTCCCAGTTTGAAGTTTGAACAACGGATCACCATCATGGCACACAGGTAGTAACCAATAAGTACTCTGTTCTTCTTCTAACTCAAGTCTGAGTCTGAAGAAGCTCAGCACAGTGCACAGGCTCTGTAGCATTGACGAGGATCCAGAAATACTTTGGGTAGATTTTCAACTCCAAATTTTGCCCAGGCAGTGCCGTTAGGCTACTCTATTCGATTTCCAACTGCCAAGGGATTTTTTAGATGCGCAACAGTGCACACAATCATCCGATCTCACTACCCAGAAACCAGGGGAAGTTACTAGAAGTCCAAGTCCACTTGAAAAATCCAAGCCCTTACCGAGGATTGAACCCGGAACGTCTAGCACTTGAGGTGGACACCATGCCTCGAGACCACGCAGTCCCAGTATATTAACATCTTCTTGTTCTTCTTTTTCTTTTTTTTTTTCAAAGAAGAGATAATAGCAGAGGTGTTTTATGAAATGTTTAAAGTTAGTAACTATAGCAGAGTGAGATGTCTAAGGAGGTACTGCAGGAGTTACCAGAACAGATGAAATCACAAACAAGGTCATAAGAGAACAAGTATACACAGAATTGCATACAAAGACATCATAATCAAATTGTTTGCCTACTTGAAGAAAATGCCTTGTGACACCGTACCATACACTCAAGGAGGGCATACACTAAATGAGGAGAATGATGTTGAGCAAGAGGTAGAACAAGAACAATATGGAAAGAAAGCATTAGAGAAACTCTGCAACAGCACGATGTGTGTGTAGTCAAGGCAAACAGAAAAGCAAGAAGCAGAACATTATTTCTCCCTCAACACCTTAAGGGGTAAAAGATGAAATGAAGAAGAATATCGGGGCTTGGCGCATAGCTGTTGGTGAGTAGTTTGTTATATAGACCATTCTTCAAATAATCTCTGAAAATGAATTAGAAAAAAGATGACCTAGAAATACATACACACAAATTACAGAACAGACTGGCTTGGCAGAAACATGCGACCCAGCATTTCCAGACTCAGAGCAGGAAATTGTTTGCCGAGAACACCTGCATCAAACGGGTCTCATTGACTCTGACACTTGTGGTTGTGGCGCACCAAAGCAAACTCCAGAGCAGGTTGTACAAGATTGCCTGGACGTTACCAGTCAGAGAGAAGAAATCTGGCCCAAAGGAGCATCTCTGCGTCTGCAAGGCAAACTATGGGGCACCATCCTGTTTTTGACCCATGCTGGAATGATTGATTGGCACAGCACCTTTCCTGTTTTTGACCCATGCTGGAATGATTGATTGGCACAGCACCTTTCCTGTTTTTGACCCATGCTGGAATGATTGATTGGCACAGCACCTTTCCTATTTTTGACCTATGCTAGAATGATTGATTGGCACGGCACCTTTCCTGTTTTTGACCCATACTTAAATGATTGGTATGCACAGCAACTATCCATCATTGCAAACAATTTTGCTATGTTGTGCTATGGTGAGAAATGTAGTGAACACAGAGCAAGGGAAAGGCCATGCAAAAGGTGGAAATAGGACATCAGAAACAATTTTAATGAGACGAAGATTAACTTAAGAGGTGCTGGGTAGTTAGCTTTCTGTCAATATTTTCTCCAGATAATATGCCACTGTGTTAGGAAATGAGCAGGCAGATAGACTGGCCAGTACTGCACCATTTGGTGGTGAATTGATGTATGACAGGCTAGATGTTGTAAGGACCCTCTGGGAGCGAGGCACAAATAGATCACTCGGGTCTGAAGAGATTGTTGCTGCAAGGAGTTACCAGGGAATCTGGCAGAAGCTCAGCACTGAAGGCAAAGGCCAGACAGATATACAGATATACTGGTACCATCGGAATTGGGACTCTTCACTTGCTGCTGAAGTTGAGGACGAAGTGCTTATCTGAGTGTCCCGGGTGCTGTGATGTCGATTCGACATTCAACAGATTAACTTTAAAAATATATTAAAATGAACACACAGAAATGTCTACTTTTAGCATTCACAAGCTGTAAACTCTGGCAGAAAGTTCTGGTTGTTCAGCCACTTCTGGACTTTAGTCTTGTTCCAGAACTTAGAGTTTTGAATGCACATCTGTTTTACAGGTGTAGCTTATTTGTCAGGGTTTTCCATGGCAGATGCACTCCCACTGCGCAGAAAACATACCTAATTAGTTGCCTCCCACTAGAAGCTTATTTGGTGGCATTGGGTCTGTTCTTGTTCTCCCAGAATGGGGGCAGTGGGTCTGTTCTTGTTCTCCCAGAATGGGGGCACTGGGTGTGTTCTTGTTCTCCCAGAATGGGGACAGTGGGTGTGTTCTTGTTCTCCCAGACTGGGGGCAGTGGGTCTGTTCTTGTTCTCCCAGAATGGGGGCAGTGGGTCTGTTCTTGTTCTCCAATATAGGGCAGTGGTTCTATTCTTATTCTCCCAGAATGGGGCCGTGGAACCAAGACAGGGAGAGAAAAACAAACAGATGATCCTTACATGTCTTCACAACACTTTGCTGAGGTAAATGGAAGAAGAGAAAAAGGAGGAGGAGAAAAGAAACAGAAGTTATAATAAGAAAAATGTTTCTGACAGATCAAGCATTTCTCTCACATTAGGTGTGGGAGTCCTGGAGGGTCCTATGTACGCTGTGGGAGGACATGATGGCTGGTCCTACCTGAATACAGTTGAGAGATGGGATCCACAAGCCAGACAGTGGAGCTATGTGGCCCCCATGTCCACTCCCCGCAGCACTGTTGGTGTGGCAGCACTGCTTGGAAAGTATGTTTGTCTTTTGCCCTGCTTTCCTACTTTTGTTACTTTAGTAGTTTGTATAATCTTCTCTTGCTTATTCTTTAGCTGATGATAGGTAGCCAAATGTTCTATGCAATCTTTCTTTGTGAACTGGGACGAGAAAGAGAATTCTTAGAAGTTGTAAATGCTAACCCAGTGTATGGAAGTGAATCATTTACAATTGATTGATTAGTGAAAGATTGTTTGGGAACTGCAAAGATATAATTTTGTAGATGAATGATGAGAATACCCTCGACAGATATAAAAGACTAACGAAGACATCTTAAAAGAAAATGACTCACGAAGATAACTGAATGCCCACATCAGAAGGAGACAATCTACATTCTTTGGTCAAGTCATGAGATAGATAAAACTGGAGTACATCATGACAGAGGGAGACAATCTACATTCTTTGGTCATGTCATGAGATAGATAAAACTGGAGTACATCATGACAGAGGGAGTGTTGATGGGGAAAAGAAACTGAAAGGACTGAGGGAAAAGATGCTGGACAGTCTGATGTCATAGCCTGGAAGATCATCTGTGTCAGAATGGAGTGAAAGTACATGAGACACGAGGTTGTGAATAGATGTTGGCCTTTAGACGCTTGTATGGCAGTGACTGTGTTGCTAGTTTATACTATGAAAAAAATCTGTGAAGTTGAAGGGCTTTTAAGTTTGCCTAGGCCTGATGAAACATTGGTTCAATTTTAGTCTGATTATTTTTGTATGTAAGAATTTACTGATGAGGGTCATGTAAGTGTAGCTTGACCCAAAAAAGAAATTAATTTTGCCAAAGTATTTTTTTAAATTAGTAGTTAATGGAATACAAATTACTTTTTCCAATGCCTGTGTTTTTTTTTTTCAACTTAGTAGTTAATGCAGCAATATCAAACACCATCACAGTCATTACATCTCAGAAGGTCAGCTACCAGTGTCAGAGGTTAGCCAGCCACAAAAATGTGGATTGACAGCATTAAAACACTTTACACCTTCACTGGATTGCATACTATTCCTCCCCAAGACTCTTTAACAGCAGAAGTGGTTTTATGACGATGATGATACTTATGGTGATGATGAATAGTTAATGAAATTTTACTACTGTATGTTTTTTAATTCATTCGTTCCATTATTTTATTGCTCATGCATCATCAAATGAATTTATTTCCCTAGGTTGTATGCTGTAGGTGGCAGAGATGGCGGCTCGTGCCTTAGAACAGTGGAGTGCTTTGACCCTCACACCAACAAGTGGACCCATTGTACCCCCATGTCCAAGAAGAGGGGAGGAGTGGGAGCTGCCAACTGTAATGGGTTCCTGTACGCAGTGGGCGGCTACGAAGCCCCGGCTACTAATCCCACAAGTAGTAGATTTGATTGTGCTGAGAGGTAAGTGGGCTTTAGGCACATACTTCTGTTTATATCATCACCTACAGTCATCACGTAGCCACACAGGCTCTTGTGTGTGGACTATGACAAATCTCTGATGCTAAGATGATTGCTTAACCATGGAATAAAGATTGGTGAAGTACATGATGCCGTCTTCAAGACCAAGACAGGAGTCACTATAACCAGCTCCTCATAGGAACAATCAGTAGAGATGCCTTGGAGTAGCTGCTACATTGTAGAATTGAGCATGCATGGGACTACCCAGTATGCATTGTCATCATATTAGGTAAGGCTGTTCCAACTTCATAAAAAAAGTGGTCATTCCATAGTTGTTTCATTCGTGTGCCAACAAAACCTACAAAATGTCTATAACTGCCCCTTGTAATCAAATTGACCCAGACTGCAGCCTCAACAAAGCCAGTAGCATACACACTTATAAAATGAGTAAGGCAGTCATCAGAACTGCCAACACAAACAGTCCAGAACTAGTGATACAGATTGTGATAACATATCAATCCTTTGTAAATAGTTTTTGACCCATAAGGTTCCATGATTTCCACCGTTGCTGGTCTACTGATTTTCCTACCCTGGTATCCATGAGTTTACATTTCTTTATTTCGCATAAAATTTTCATGATAAATTTAATCCACTGAACTGACTGACTGACTGACTTTCTACCCCACCAGGACATCACACAAGCGATAAACACCCGATGACACAAAGTGCCACCATATGGATGAGGATCGCCGTGGAGAGGTCCCAGAAACCGCGTTCAGACATTTGGCCATATTTATGGCCTGCCTATATTGCGGCCCCTGGCAAAAGCCAGAGTGGGGCTTCAAATAACAAAAAATTTCGTCCTAAAAAGGACGAAACTGGATGGTAATCCACTGAACACTGACTAAAAAGCTTAATTCTTCAGTCCTAGAAGGGAATCATTAGCAACAGAAAGAGGCATATGTGACAGCACTTGACCAGTAGGTGATACACTTCTTCAAGTGTCAGATACATATATTGATACGTTGTATGGTACAGAAATAGTTAATGGAAGTGGAAAGGAGAAAAAAAGACACACACACACACGCACATACGAGAGAGAGAGAGGAGTAGTTGGATATGTTTGCAGTAACATTTATCAAAAAAACAACCTGAACAAAGGGGAGAGCATCCTGGCCGCCAGGGAGATGTGTGAATGGTTAGTGAAAGGCTGTTTAGTCACAGTTCAGTGCATTAATTTCTGGGACACTAACTTTATTGCCATCACTGCTATTTTTATCAACTCTGAAATTATCGTCAATAAAAAACTTTTTTTTCTCTTGTAAATCATTTTATTCTTTCATACTTCAAGCAACATTGCAGATATAGATAATCTATTTCAAGCAAACGAAAGAAGAAGATAAAGAAGAATTATCTTCTTTGAATAAAGTCAAGAGGTTCGACTTTGTTGCACCACATTTGATTCCATATCTTCTTATTCTTCTTCTTGATGTTCCTCAGCTGTAAATTATATGGAAAATTTTGGTTGTTCAGCCACTTCTGGACTTTATTGTTGTTCCATAACTTGAATTGTCCATGTACTCATGTTTTGAAACAAGACTAAAGTTCAAAAGTGGATGAACAACCAGAACTTTCCGCCACAGTTGGGGTGAACACGAAGTAGAAGTCTGTCTGCCTGCCTGTCTATCATTTATCCCTCCATCTGTAGCAAATAACTGATAATTCACCACATCTTTCTACTCACTGACCCCAGGTATGATCCAAAAACTGACCAGTGGACAGTGATCTCACCCATGGGCAGCCCCCGGGATTCTGTTGGCCTGTGTCCACTGGGGGACAGACTGTTTGCTGTGGGAGGCTACGACGGTGTCCAGTATCTCAACGAAGTCGAATGCTACGACCCAATCAACAACGAATGGAGCAAAGTATGAACTGTTTGTCTTGTTTGATTGTTTGTTCTCAAAGTGGCTTGTCTAGCCTTTACCTTTGTGCCAGGTCATGCGGTTGGTTGACATGATGTCTTTGGAAAGTGCAAAGTACACCTGTATGATACTGGTTGCAGCTGTATAGTGTGTAGACATGATGTCTTTGGAAAGTGCCCAGTACACATGTATGACAGCTGTGATACTGGCTACAGCTGTGTAGTGTGTAGACATGATGTCTTTGGAAAGTGCCCAGTACACCTGTATGACAGCTGTGATACTGGCTACAGCTGTGTAGTTTGTAGACATGTCTTTGGAAAGTGCCCAGTACACCTGAATGAGGCTGGCTGCAGCTGTGTAGACATGATATCTTTGGAAAGTGCCCAGTACACATGTATGACAGCTGTGATACTGGCTGCAGCTGTGTAGATATGTCTTTGGAAAGTGCCCAGTACACATGTATGACAGCTGTGATACTGGCTGCAGCTGTTAGTGTGTGGACATGATGGCTATCATTATATCTACCCACAAACAAATGTTTAGATATTATTTAAGCTGCAAAAAATAGGTTTTTTTTAAATGTGGATTCACAGTGATGTCATATAATTTAATTATAACATCACATTGCTCTCTGTGGCAAAAGTGTAATTAATACCGCATCCAGTTATAGAGCTGAATAAATTAATCAAAAATTTGCATCACAGCACTCAGGATGTTCCCACAGATGCTCCGTCTCCTTCCTCAGTAGCCAACAAGGTTAATAATAGTGCTAATAGTAGCAGATGCAACTGAATGAAAAGACCACTCATTTCCCCCTGTGTGTTGAATATCTTTCAGAACATCTACTTACCCCTCCCTGCCCAATCCACCCTCTGTCTGTTCTGTTGCACTGTCCATTTGATGCCAGGTAGCCTTCACCGTGTCTGCTTTATCATAAAGTAGCTCACCACGCAGAGGAGTGGCATCGGCCTGCTCATTACCTCTCACCCGAAACATCCTTAACAGAAAATCCATGATATTCTCCTTTTCAAAGTCTTATCAAGTTATGCAAGCCACAGTTACACAACTGATACATCATCAAAAATGTTTTTGTTTTTGTTTGTCACTGTGCATGTTTGGTTTATTTTCCGCGCTTTCGTAGAGATCTACATACTCTCCATTCCTCTTTTGTGTAGTCCACTTGTGTTTGAAAAAGGCTGCCTGGCCGAAACGTTACGTTGTGTTGTTTTGTGCACGTTTTCCTTTTTCCCATTTTGTTGAGCTTTTTAGTCAAATTTCTCTGGAATTCATTGCCACCATATTGTATGCTGCTCTAAGGAAGTTAGTAATCAGACATGCACTCCACCTAATACTGTGATTAGCTTTTGGACGCTTAAATGTGGAGCAACTGGTTTCAAGAACTGAGGACGTCATCTTTTTTTTTTCTCCACTTTTGGGTCTTTCTAAACGATAGTGTCTTATTGTGTTATGGGGAGGCATGAGACTCACAGCCCATGGTGATGGCGAGTGTGACTAGCAAGACTGGCCGACGTTGAGAAAAGTCTTCCACAGTCAGAGCATGGGATTTCAGAACTCTTGTATTTCATCTGTTTCTTCTCCGAGGCTCAGCTCTCAACCTTTCTGCAATCGTTATTTCATTCTTTATTGTTTATATTGTTATTATTTGTTGTTTTGATTTGTTACTATTATTATAACTTATTTGTATTATTTATTTTTTTTCTTTATTATTTCATTCTTTAGTATATAATAAAATACTCAATTCCCTTCTATACTTTCATTTGAAATCTGTTTAATTCTTGCAGGTGTCTCCCCTGTGTACAGGCCGAGCCGGAGCATGTGTAGTTCATGTACCAAACAGCTGACTAGGGAGGTGGGGCTGTGCCAGCAGCACAGCTGACACCACTCTTGCCTTGCTCAAGAAATGGCCCTCAGGACTCTTTCCACTACAGCACATTCACAGCAGCCCCGTCGGCATCTTGAAATAGAGACTGTTAAATGTTAGGATACATTCACAGCAGCCCCGTCGGCATCTTGAAATAGAGGCTGTTAAATGTTAGGATAGATTCACAGCAGCCCCGTCGGCATCTTGAAATAGAGGCTGTTCAATGTTAGGATAGATTCACAGCAGCCCTGTCGGCATCTTGAAATAAAGGCTGTTCAATGTTAGGATAGATTCAGAGCAACCACACTGGGGTCTTTATATAGAATCTGTTAAATGTTAAAATAGATTCAGAGCAACCACACTGGGGTCTTTATATAGAATCTGTTAAATGTTAAAATAGATTCAGAGCAACCACACTGGGGCATTTAAATATAATCTGTTAAAAGTTATAACAGATTCATAACTACACTGGGGTTTTCAAGTATAATCTGTTGTATGTTACAATAGATTCATAACCACATTGGAATCTTGCTATAGAATCTGCTACCTAACTGATTCAAATGTGCTCTGTTGCATGTTAGAATACATTCAGAAATCTTACATTTGTTTTGAAATCAGTTAATGTTAAAACAGATTCATGACAGTGTTGAGGTCTTGAAATAGAATCTGTTAAATGTTAAAACAGATTCATAACTACACTAGGATCTTCCGATTGAATCTGTTGTGAGAATAGATTTAGACTTTTCACACAAGATTAGAAATCCTTTGGATATTAGAATAGACTCATAGCCACTTTGGGGTCTTCAAATAGAATCTGTTAATGTGAGAATGGATTCATAACCAAATTGGGCTCTATCTTAGAATAGATTCAGAATTGTCACAAGTTTCAGATGTTTGAAAAGGTTCATAACCTCAGGGTCTTGAGATAGAATCGATAAAACATTACAATAGCTTCTTAACCACATTGAGATCCTGAAATATATTTTGTTGAATATTATAATAGATTCATAATCACATTGGGGTCTGCAAGAAGAATCCGTTAAATGTTAGAATAGATTCATAACCACATTGGCACTTGGACAAAAGAAGAAAAGAAGGTGAGAAATCGTCTTTGTCAGTCGAGGTGAGACAGACGGTTGTTAAGAGCTATATAAGTCCAGTCCTGATGTATGGAAGTGAATCATGGACAGCCATCCCAATAGGGAAAACATGTTGAATCATTGGTTTTAACAATGAGGAAAGAAAATTCTTGCAATAAATAATTGAAGAGAATTTATTATGCACATCACAAGCAGACAATATACATTCATCGGTCACATTGCGAGAAGGGGAGAGCTGGAGTACATTGTGCCAGAGAGGAAAAGAGGCAGGGAAAGACCAGTAGAGAAGATGCCAGATAGTCTGGCGGCATTGAATATCATCAATGTCAGAAATGTTTAAAGTACATGAGACAGAAGGCTGTGGAAAGTCAAACAACATTAACTAAAAGAAAGGTATTTATAAATATAAGGAGTGTTCTTGGGAAACCTGTTTGTGCCACATCTTGTGTAATTGCATGCATTGAAGATAATCATGTCATAGTCATGTGGTAAGTACTGACCAATGAATAAAAGTCTGTGAATATTTTCCCATGATGCATACATTTCTGACTGTTGAGAAAATGGCTGGGTTGATCCAGAACCTATCCAAAGGAGCTCAGAGAGCGGTGTTTCAGGTTCTTTCATTTGAAAGATGTTGACCACTGGAAGTTCATCGAAGAAAGAAAGCAGCGGAGGGTAACAAATGTGTGTCGAAGACGGCAGTGATAGACTGCACGATTGTTTCTAGAAGAACATAAGTTCAAACAGATCTTTCATGGCTGGGTCAAGCCTATATTGTTGCAACAGAAACCATTATCACAACTGATGCAGCAGTTCAGGTGAACCATTTTCGAATCATACGCTCACTAGCTCAAGAATTTGGTTGAGTCAACTGAGGCAGTTCAGAAGGAACTGCAGAACTGGAAATTGGGTTCCTAGTAGGTTCCATGGATGTGGACTCACCACCAAAAGGAGGAATGCAGTAAAGATTTGGTTCAGTGGGCAACCACAGTCCTTTTTCTTTTATGTGTGTGTATATGGCCTTTGCCACCTACCTAGCAATAGGATGCTTGCCTAAATACCTACGGCAACTTTTTCTGGCAAACCCATGGTGGATAATTCATTCAGATGGAATGCTGTGCTTAATTCTGCCACACCTATTCTAATGATGTTTGTTGCATGATTTTGTAATGAAGCCATTGGAATGGGTTTCAACTGAACGCTCCTTATATAGACATTAAAGGCTTTATATTGTGCTGGCCATTAGGTCCCCATGTCAGTGCCTTGGATAACTTTGTAATAGTCAGTCTTTCTACAGTGTTGGCCAAAAGTTTCAGACAACCTAGTAAACAATAATTATCTCCACACTGTTACAGAGAATTGCATCCACTGTTACAGAGAATTGCATCCACTGTTACAGAGAATTGCATCCACTGTTACAGAGAATTGCATCCACTGTTAAATATAATTGCATCCACTGTTACAGAGAATTGCATCCACTGTTAAATATAATTGCATCCACTGTTACAGAGAATTGCATCCACTGTTAAATATAATTGCATCCACTGTTACAGAGAATTGCATCCACTGTTAAATATAATTGCATCCACTGTTACAGAGAATTGCATCCACTGTTAAATATAATTGCATCCACTGTTACAGAGAATTGCATCCACTGTTAAAGAGAATTGCATCCACTGCTGTTTAGGGCCCACTAAAGGCATCAGTGTGGGCACCATTATGCCCTAAAAAAGCAGCTGATGCTGTACTTAGTAATAATGTTGAAAAGTCTGAGGTGCTCTTGAACTTTTGGCCAACACTGTACTTTGATATTCATGTTGCGTTCATGCTGTGAGTGCATGTATTCTAGTGGTCATTGTAGTCTGTAGCCTGGGGTTGGTTGATGTAAGGTCGCGGATGTTACATTACCATTGTTTCAATATATTGTTACAGTTGTTACCATTGTTACAATATACTGTGTTCTGAAAGTAGTGCCGTAAATTTTTTCCTCTCAAACTTTCCTACAAAATTTATGAAATTTGCTGACAGTATAAATCATTTTAAAAAAATATAAAATTCCTAGAATACCATGGAGCAGTAAGAAGCAGAACATTGCAAGTGTGCAGGATCTGATCATCAGGGAGAATTGGCTCATCAACAGCATCCGTTTTCCAAAGCTGAGATGTTTTGGCCATGTTAAAAATTATTGTGGCCTGGAGAAAATGATGGAAGGTTAATGAGGCAGGGGCAGACCGCTGCGATGCTGGATACAGGACACTGAAGATACATTGGCTATGAAAGAGATAGACTATTAGTAGTAGATATAAGGGGCATGAGGTAGATGAAGTAAGAGGAATTGACAGTAGTCGGTGATTGAGCCAGCCCTGTCGAGGTTTGTGAAAACTTCCTGTGAGAGAATCGTCTAAATGGTAATTTTTGTGGGTGCTGAAAGAGCCAGCAAAAGTCAGAACCTAACCTAAATTTGGCGGGAGTTTCCTCACACTTGAAGGTAGGCATTCCATCATTTACATGTGTCCCTGCATCATTCATTGAGATCTTTGTGGTCATAAAATCTACATCTGTCAACTGTGTTAAAAAGTAACACAACCTACAGGGGTTTCAAGACTCTCTATTTAGTCTCCTCCTTCCCTCTTTCTCTCCCTCTCTTTCTGTGTGCGTGCGCGCGCGCTTGGGGGCAAGGGGGGGGGGGGGTACCTGGGGCCCCTGTTGTAGAGTTGGGGGAAGGGGGATAGACCCCTTGACAAACATGTTGTAGAAGACAATAAATTTGGGGTGTTCTTCTTCTGAATCAAAATGCATCTTTGGAGGAAAGGAACCAACAGTCTGCCTACAAATTAAGCCAGATCAGTAAAATGGTTGTGCACGCAAAACTGAAGTTCTGGGTGTGTTGTTTCAGTCAGTTTGTATTTTTGCCCCTTTTTTTCAAAGAATAATAATGCATACCGAATTAGAAGGAAGTGAATAACTGCTATGACAGGCTGTATGTCTACTTTTGGTGATGTAGGCAGTGGGTTGTTTGAGCCTGAGTATTTACGGCTGCACGGCTAGTGCTGTCGCCACGGACTGTGCAGGTAGGGGTTGTATTTTTTAACCCAACAGAAAAATAAATCCGCAGCCTTCCTGAGGATTCCATCGTGGGTTTCCTGGATGAGAGCCAAGCATTCTTAACCAGTCAGCCAACCGCTCCTCACCATATCAGATGCCAGATTTTTTGTTAATGTCTTCTTTCTCATCATTTTTTCCTTCTTTCTCCCACTTCAGGCTCTCCATCTCCTTATTCTTCTCCATCTAGTTCCTTTATCTCCATTCTTTCCCTGTTCTCCTTTCTGATGAATGTGACATTATTTGCCCCCATAACTGTGGTTGAAAACTTGTACAGATTTATCTGCTTGAAGCAGTTTTTCCCTTTTTAATTTTGTTGTTGTTGCATTTCTTACTTTTAATGTTCAACACTTTAACACTGTAATATGGCACATTTAATTAATTAATATTAAATCCCTATCATATAATTTGTCACAATTACATTTTAATGTATTCTTGCACAATTTTTTTTATGTGAAGACAATGATTTTGTATTCATTTTTGTTTGCTGTAGTAGCTAGCACTGTTTTTTGTTGTCAGGCAGGAGCAAAAATGATACGGTGGAGTTTTGGGAGTCAAGGAAACAAACTTAAGTAAAAGGTGACCGGCATGATGCTGACCACATCATCCACTGAGTGCCGGTTGGTGCATAAAATATAAGTCTAGTCCCATGTGCCCAATATGCCCGAAGGTGTAAAAAAGGGTCCTTGACTTTTTTTTAACATCTCACTGTTGCCAAGTTGTAGCCCAGTGTCCTGGTTTCATGTATTTGTATTGCGCTTTTTGGGTGGCTTGGGTG